GACGAGAGAGCAGAGAGAGAGAGAGGAGAGAGAGAGCAGAGAGAGCAGACGAGAGAGAGAGAGAGAGAGAGAGAGAGAAAGAGATAGCATCAACGTGTTTGCTCAGTTTCCCATACTTTGAATGTACACTTTACGAGTAATACTATTCATCACTGAACGGTAAATAGATATACGCACTCACGCCACGCAACGCCACGCACGCCACGCACGCACGCACGCGCGCATGCACCTACTGTAGTATAAGCCACCATTGGCTAGGCGCACTCTATTCGGTTGCAGAGGCTTGCTCGTTCACTTCTGTGAAGCCCATGTCCCTGACATTGGATGTTCTATTAAGAACGTCCACTGCAGGCTTATATGAGCCATCTGATGGGTTATCAAAATGCGTGAAAGCCTTTTAGCAGACAATCGGCTGCTTTTCTTTCATTTCTAACCGAAGCGCTTTTTGTCGTCGAACGTCCGGACGAGTGTTACTAAGCACTTTAGAGAGGCTTTCTCTCTCTCTTTCTCTTCACCTTCTCTCTCTTTCTTGTCTCCGCTTTCGCTCTCTCTCTCTCTCTCTCTCTCTCTCTCTCTCTCTCTTCTCGCTCTCATCGCTCTCTCTCTCTCGCTCGTTTTCTCGCTCGCCTCTCTCTCTTCGCTCGTTTCTTCTCTCTCTCTCTTTCTCTCCCCTCGCTCTCTCTCGCCCTGCGGTCATCTCTCGCTTCGCTCTCTCTCGCCCTCGCGCTCTCTACTCTCTCTCTCTCTCTTTCTTTTTCTTTCTCCCTCTCTCTCTCTCTCCTGTCTCGGCGCCTCTCTCTAAGAGCCTTTCTTTTATACGGGCGACAGTTGTCGCGAAAGGCTTGGGACTACGGATCGAAAACAAGAGAACATCTGAAAACGACAAGCGCACACGGAAATTGTGAACTAGGGAGAATGGTGACGTTTAGTGTTGTTTACCGATGGGCTAGATGAGTTGGTCCCTTCTGTCGTTTCTATACTGGGAGAGGGATAATCACGTTTTTTCAGTTTCTGTTAAGTGTAACGCGGTCGGAGAGCATTTTCGTCGACAATGATATCCCATGCAGTGTTATGTGTACTATAACTCACATCGCTTGTGTGTGTCAGTGTGTGTGTGTGCGCGCGCGCGTCGGCGTGCGTGCGTGCTGTGCGTGCGTGCGTCGCGTGCGCTGCCGTGCGTGTGTGTGTGTGGCGCGCGCGCGCGCTGCGTAAGCGTGCGCGGCGTGCGTGGCGTGTGTGCCGTGTGTGTATGTGTTGCTGTGTGTGTAGTGGTGTGACTGTGTGTGTGTGTGTGCGTGGAGATGTGTGTGTGTGTGTTGTTGTGCATTGCGCTGGTATCCATGCGTGTATACGTGCTGCAGTGGGAGTGTGGCTGTGTGTGTGTGTGTGTGTGTGGTGTCTGCGCGGCAACCAGGGGCCCGCCCCGCCCCCGCCAGCCCCTGGCGCAGCGTAGAGCTCCGCGCACGCAACACACGGCGCCAACCCCGCGCAGCCTACCCGGATCTACCCCGCAACAGGCAACCGACCACATACAACGCATCGATACGGCCGCACCCGTTGTGTGGTGTACGTGTGTGTGTCTGTGTGCGCTTTGAGTACAGACGTGCGCCGCCCCGTGTGTCAGAGAGAGTATTGCGCTTGTGTTGCGTATATGTGCATGAATACGTGATCATTTCGTGTTGCCATCGAAACCAGAATCGCTAATTTAACAATGAAAAATGTCACAATTTTGTGTTTCATGCACACACAAAATTGACACATTATTAACGTACATTGTTTACCGCGAAACGATATCGCTATTTCCACTTTGTCACTCGTGTCGTCTCGTTACGTTGCGGTGCCAATGCCCATAGCGCCACATAGCAGTGAAATAGCGGAGACATTCCTCCTTTTTTCTCTAGGTTGAGAGAAGGCTGCAAGTGAGCACAGACAGACTGCAGCATATAGCCGTCGTGCGAGGGGAGAAGGCGCTGATAGAGAGAGATCTGCCTCTGTACGAACCAGCGCTACGGAGGCAAGGCTTTCTAATCAGCATCGCGACAAACGACACCGGTATAGTACCTAATACATATAGTATAGAATATATAGTATGTAGTATCAACAGTACCATAATAGAAAATGGTATAGAAAATAGAGATTTTCCATTATGGTACTCTTGATAGTATCAAGAGCTAATAAACACCTATTTATTAGCTCTTGATAGTATGTAGTACTATTTCTCTCTCCCCTCCTCTCTCCCATTCTCTCTCTCGCTCTCGTACTTTCGCTATACTGTCGAGAGCCCATATGATACTATGGACTCACGTGCTCTCGACATTTACACGATACACGCACATCATCACGGAATGCAGGACGCAAGCAGGCGATCACGCCTGACCAAATTTCTTTATTACCGACTTTATTACATGCATAGGTGGGTAACGTGAGACTGCGTCGCCGCCACCCTGATAGGAGATGTTAGAATGCGATGGCAGCGAGGCAGTAGGTTCTCACGCGACGGGGGCGACACCCCGCGGCGAAATGTAAACGCAGTCGGCGGGTGTTGCTGCTGCCGACAGAAAAACCAAACATTGTTTCGCTTCGTTTTTGCAGAAGCAACTGTCACACGTTGTTACGCCTTAGCAGAACGTATAGTAGCCACGGTGCCTGGACGTGTGAGCCACATGCATATACATAAACGCCGATGTTGGGGCATTTATATACGACCATATTCTCATTTCTACTACATCTGGTCTTTGCTGTCGGGGGAAAGAGGAGAGAAAAAGAATTGTTGGCTGCTTCGGCTGCTGCTGATCTGCAGATGAAAACAGATGCTGTCGTCAAATTGCTACTGCTTGCGAAATCGGAATTTGATAAATAAACTCTCCTTATATCTATAAACATCTTGTAATAAACTTCCGTCTTGTGGTCTATACGACAACAGCAGCTATATATTGGGCGGCGCCCTCAAACTGTATGAAGGACCCTAGCTAGCACTGTAGCGCGCCTGTAGGCGGCTGTGAATTGCAACATGCGGCATTTTAACATGAACCAAAACAATAACAGTGTTACACTGACGGATTTAAAACATTTTGGCATGCAAAAAGTGAAGCGTGCATGTCGGCATACGTGCGTGTGTACGTGTACGTCAGTGCGCGCGCGCGCGTGTGAAGGGAAGGGGTTACGTCAACAGAGCTGTTATTCTAGTTGACATTGTTGTTTTCTGTCCAAAATTGATTCATTCTATTGCTTTAAAAGGTTCGGTATGTACATCATAAAGAAGCGGCATTGCCTGAAGCGAACTGAAGCTTTATAAACGAGCGGGAATACTGAATGCAGACACGACATGTACGCGTGCGGGGAACGCAGTAAGTGCACATTCATGAGTAGGAGGGAGTAGGAGTTCATAGGGCCATAGCTCGAGCAAATTCACCCACCCACCACTCTCTCCACCCCACCCCACCTACACCACCCCCGCCCCGCCCTCACCTTCAGCCATCACG